AGCTCTGCTTCTCCTCCAGCCCAAGGTGTTCCTTCTTCTACTTCACTCTGCTAAAGGGGAAATCCCTGCAGAAATACAGCAATCCCCTCTGGCTCTGGCAAAATGTTGCTACTTTTTCTGTTCCACATTGCTCAGTCCCCTGAGGGATGGCTCAGCCAGGTTCTTCTTTTCTGCTCCAGTAAATGAAGATCTTCACACCCAAGGCTCTTTTGAGAAAGAGATTTATTTGAGAAGGAGGAGTCCAGGAGGGTGGCTGCCTCTACCAGGGTGGAGAGAACAGCGGACAACTGAACAGGCAGGTGGTTTATATAGGGTTACTTAGGGGTGCAGTTTCTCTAGGGAGATTTTCTGCTCAGGGATTGGTTAGATTTTCCTGCTCAGGGATTCTTTAGTTTTCTTGGTCAAAGGCAGAGATGGCCCTGGTTTCAGAGCCAAACTGTGTTTCTTTCACTGGCCTTTCTTAGCTTTTAGGCTCTAATTCTAAGGCCAGGGCAGATTTCTTTCACGGTCTCTGATTCTAGGGCAAAGTGTGTTTCTTTGGAACTGGTCTCAGAGTCAGGCATGTTTCTTTGGATCTGGGTTCAGGGATAAAGTGTTTCTTTTATTGACTTGGGTCCCTGATCCAGACTGTGTTTGTTTCACTGGTTCTGGGTTCCAGGGTGAGGGTGGGTTTCTTTAGCTGGCCCCTCTACCCTACACCAAGCATGAGAGGGTGCTGATGCTGCTGGAGAGGAAGGTCTGTGGCTGACATCTCACCGTCCAGAGGGGAGGGGGATGGGAGAGCCGCTGTGTCTTCTCCATCTTCAATACTCTCACTCTGACTTTCCCCCGTTTTCAGCACCTCAGTTTCCCCACTGTTCTCATTGCTCCGGCTGCCCAGCCCTCTCTGTGTTTCAGTCCATTCCCCTGCTCTTGTCTCCTCTGCCCCTTTGCTTCAGACTCCAGCGGTTGTCTTCCCTTTGATCCACATGAACCCTGGGCTCAGACACCCAAATCCACACTGCTCAGTGTTTGGTTCCCAGACTTGCTCTCACCCTTCTCCCTCTAACAATATGGATCCACTGTTCCCCGCTCTGTCCGGCCATCTTTGTTCACCCTGTGCTGTCTGGGGACGTGTGGTCTGGCTGAGCTCTACAGACTTCTCAAGCTACCAGTCACCTGTCTTGTTGGTTCAGGCAGCCTTGACCTTTGCCCCCTTGTGTAGATAAATGGAGTCTGCTACAAGACTATACACATCCAATGCAAGGAAGGAATTCCCAGATGCTGCTCCTCTGACTCGGGCTCCTCTCTTCACTGACCA